GTTCAGCGGGTGGAAATATGTCTGGCAGAGGAGGTTATTCGTCATCTAGAGGCGGTAGATTTAAATATTCTACAACAAGCTATGATTCTCGATCAAAGTATAATTCAGGTAACGTTTAAGTGTTGGCTGTTCATGAAATATGTGTAATCAGTGTATACTTGAAAACATGCACAATTAGGGATTACTGTTTAAAAACATGAAACTTATGATGTAAGAAACAATAGTTGAATAAATAAACAATGCTGTTAATGTTAATGACTTCTTGCAGGAGGATCGGAGAGATATTCGAGCAGAGGCGGTCGTGGTGAACATTCAAATAGTTATAAGAGACCACGCGTAAGTATATAATGCATAGAAAATCGCAAATGTCTTTTTATATAGATATTCAAAATAAAGTATTTTTTATAGGATTCCTATTCTGGAAGAGACGATCATCGATCATCTAGCGACTCTGCGCGTAAAAGGATAAGAAGTGATTCTTATCAGGTATGTGTTCTTCCCCTCTCACTTTCTGATCTGCTTCTCTCCATCTATTTCTCTATGTCACATAAGATAATTACTAATCTAAATATAAAAAATATAGAAAATAGTACGGTATTGATTTGCAATTAACTGATAGCCAATGACATTTCTATAATTGAGAAATCATTTTTAATTGGGAGATTTAAATATTTTTCCTCTCTATCTTATATAATTGAGAACGATGGTCCTGAAAGCTTGTCACTTGTCGATTAAACTGTATTATATCAAAGATAAAAAGTTACACAAAGGAATAGTAAATAATTTCAGGACACTCGTATGTAAGAAAGATCGGCGTGCTTTAGGCGAAGCATTCATAAGTTGTCACTTTCCTTTCAAGCGACGCGTGCCAACGGCTTCTCGAACACTCGTTCTTTTTGCGTTGGGGCACTACTGCGGTGGAACGCTACGAAAACGTCAAATTATTAAAAGATAAATTCAAAGACAAATATACCTAGATGGTATTTATAATATTGCCTACTATACTCGCACATATGGGTGGTATTAACGTTTGAGAGCTGTTTGAGAACTCCTCTGACATTGCCTTCTGACATGGAACTTTCATAATGGTGCAAGGTACCATCTATAAGCACCCAGAGCGATCAGTTATCTAAATTATGTTAAAAGCTATAAATTATATGAGAGAGCGCAAGTTTTGAGTAATAATATATCTATACATTCGTAGACCTTTCCAATTAGGACGGACGTATGTTCCCGCTATCGACTTTGCGTTAATGACAAGGAGACTTATAGAAAGAGAATTAATGGTTAAAATATTTCTACGCAATGATGGAAAATACTTGAAAAGCATATGTGGGGACAATGTGAACGAGAATATAAAAATGGATATACATATACGTAATATATATCGTCCGAAATATATATCTTATTATTCCCAGGTGCGACCAAGCACGGCTATATTTAGAAATGATTACGTATATAGCGACAGCTTTGTTACTTTCGTATTCGATTATCATCTTCGTATATACGAGAGATTTGATGCGTCACGGAGGCATTTCTTATACGTATAAAAATACGATTATTCAAAATGTAATAAGAAATATAATTCGATTAAGTTGGAAAGGTCTATCGAGAATGTTATTATTATATACTATTATCGAATGCATCGTTGAGTGGCGAAATAGAATTTGTTAGCTCGAGGGAAATGAGTGTTGCTAACCCACTATTTCCAAGAGATCGCAAACGTTATGTGAGCGAGATTACATTTTTACAGATTGAACGGTTACGCGAGTCAAATATAAGACATAATGAAAATTTAGGGATTCTTGATATTTAGGGATGTCAGTCAAAGTAGTCGATTAGCCCAGTTAAGAGTTAAATAGATATATATATATATATATATATAAATATGTATATAGAAAGATCTACGAAGGATAAATGGTAGGAAAGGGAACAAAAAAAAAAAAAAAGAGGGGAAAAGAATACATATACATAAGCACACATACGTGTATACTTATATGTGATATACATATGTGCGTAGAATAAAATGTAAGAGAAAAAGGGGCAGGAAATGAAAAAAAAAAAAAAAGAGAGAAATACATGGAAGGAGCACAATTGAATTTGATTTGGCAGGGTGGAGGTAGCGGTAGCGGCTCTCAGAGGTATTCGTCTTACGGCGGCTCGTCTGCATCGGCGCCTTATGACGATAATAAGGGATCATCATCGTCCGCCGTTTACGAGGACAAGAGACAGAGCGAGCGCGCGTCGTCGTACCACCGTTCCGAGGATCGTCATTCCGCATCGCGGAGCTACGCGCCACCGCCACCCCCTCGAATTAGCGAAATGGCGCCGCCCCCGACTCAGAGATACATCTCTAGTCGTGGAAGAATATCGCATCAGAGCTCAAATTACCGGGGTCGCATTTCGACCCGCGGCACCAGCGGCAGAGGGGGTGCGTTTCATCGCGTGAGCTCACGCACGGACATCATGGCTCGCAAGCGTACTCTGCACTCGCTCGACTATCGTCGAAAGCTGCTGGGCTCACGCTCGCGCGACTACATCCAGCGTATGCGCATGACCACTACCAAATTGCGCAGGAGGTAAATTTATTAATACAGTCACACTTACCGCAAAATACCGTACGCAAAATACTATCCTCGTATAGCCATATCCGTCCTTTGATCAGCCGGTTCGAAACGCAAACCGGCTCTCGGTCAATGACCCGAGTATATCGCAAGACGATGATTAGAAAAAAAAAAAAATCATATATATATATAGATGAAAGCAATAGAAACAAAATACCTGTGTGAATAAATGCATAAGTAAATCAAATCGATATGTTCAAGATACAAACAATTCGCACGAAACATATATAAATCCGCTGCCGAGAGAGAGCTTTTTGCAGGGTTTTATAATAAGAAAGGAATCTCAGAATGATGATACGTATAAACGCAATATCTATGTGTGTATGTGTGTATCATCAGAACGCAATGTATAATCGCTTTTGATACGAGAACTAAAATAATTGTACTTTATTCATCATGAGATATAACTCTCTTTAAAGTTTGGTACACATAGCGGCACAACTATACTGTATTCATATAATAAATTTTTGGCACGGCCGAATGTGTGTGTGAAGAAATCAGAACGCGATGCAAAAAAAAAAAAAAGACGAATAGTAGATACTTTTAGCGTACGCTACGAAACGCATTTCATATTTTGGGACATAAGACCGATACTAAATCGATATTATCGCGATATTTGCTCTGCGTATCATCTATCAGCTCAAGTTTTGCTTGATGATACTACACGAAAGATGAAGGAGCACGAGAAAAAAAAAAAAGAAAAATAACGAAGAAAAATAATATAAGTCAAAACAAAATTGCTGTGTCATTAGTAGCGGTACTACTAGGCTACCCGGAAGTAAAAAGGACTCGGGATCAGGAACCAGCGTGAAGGACAAGGATAGAGAGATGGCCAAAGCCATAAATGCCGAGTTTTCCGATGACGATGATGAAGAGGATGATAATAAGAGTAATTGGGACGACGAAGAGAAGGTAATTTAACATTAGTTTGAGATAGACAAGTCTATCGTTCGAACATAACATTTATAGATTTAACTAAATTTGCCTAATTCGATTACATGCATTACATACAGAGAGATGTAATGTATAAATTGAAATTGAAAAATATACACTTGCGGATGTACATTGTATTAAAACTTAATTAAAAAATTGTCCTTTAATCATTGAATATCAAATTGTAATCTAATATTTACCATTACATTCTCGCTAACGACCGACTCGTCTCGAGAATCCTCTCACCTATGTATTTGATAGCACATTATCACAATATTTTTTATACCTATGTATATACATATGTATTTAATATTCTTCTATTTGTTTTCCAAACATTTTATAATATTTGTTCAATCAACGTTATATAGCCGCACGAAGGCGATGAAGAGGAAGAAATCGAACAGGAAGAAGAGAAAAAGAAAAAGGAGGACAAACGCAAGAAGGAAAAACAGGATAGAGAAAGAGAACATACCGAGGACGAAGAAGAAAAGGATGATGATATTAAGGAAGACGATGATGATCAGAAGAGAGAAGTGAGTTATTTTTAGCATTGAATAATTAGTACTGATTATTACTACATTTGTACAATTACTTACTACAATCATTATTACCGTCTTTCTAACTCGTTGGAAATTTGTTTTATTGAATACTTGAATAGGTGGACGAAGACGACGACGATGACGGCGATGACGAGGAACGAGGCGAGAACGAGAAAGCGGAACGCGATAGAACTGCAGATTCGGAAGAATTACCGAGTAGACGGGACGGTAGAAAATTCATAAAACTGAAGTGTCCACATTGCGCCCATCATAGCGTAACTTTCAAAGAATATTCGCTTCACCTGTTCTCCGGTCGTCATAGCGCGGCAATGAAGCGTATCGCAGCTCGACACAAGGCGACTCTCACGCGTATGAGAGTTGTACAACGGCAAGAACAAAGACGTATCGAAGCTCGCGATGCAGCACGTGGTACATTGCCCTCACGTACCATGTTTTGTGCCATTTGCAAGTTGAATTATCGTTCCTTGAAATCTGCCCATCAGTTGTCCGAATCTCATCGTCAAATGAAACGATTCCTCACGCCATTCTGTCGCGTTTGCCGTATACAATTCCGTTCACCAATGTTTTTCGAAACACATATGTGCTCCCTGGAGCATATCAAGGTAATTCTAACGCTTATATGATATCAATGTTATTTAGTCTTGCCTTAGAACAATATCACTAACATAAGCCATTCCTTTCGCTAGAGAAAGAGTATACTGCGAGAAAGAATGAACGCAAATGGGAGCGGCGAAGCTGAAGCGGACTCGAGCGCGCCTGAGGAAGATGATAAGGAAGTTAATCTTGACAACTTTATGACATTGGATTCCGTAGGTGATGTAGACGGTATGTAACAAACGAATATATCAAGTATTTCAAATTTACTAAAATGTCTGTCGTATATCTTAGAGTTAGAATTATGTCGAATTTAACACATTTTATATTTATCCCTAATTACTTTATATCATCATTATTTGCAGAAGATGAAGAATCTAACGATAAAAAGAAAGAAAAAACCGAGGGTGAAAGTTCAAGTGAAGCGGAGAAAAAATCGAAGGGCAAGCAAATGATAAAAGTCGGTGCGGAATACATAAAACGTGTCGAGGTGCAATACTGCGAGTTATGCAAGGTATACCTGCCACGCAGTGAAAACACAGAAAGGGCGCTCGCTTTACATTGTTCCATGCGCAGCCATCTTAAAAGGTATATCATATGTGTTTGTCGATGTGTTCAGCAACATAAATAAATCGATATGTAAAAAACAAATTAGTACATTTAGCATCGTATCGTGTTGCAGATATGTGCGAGACAACGACGACAAGGCACTTAGACGTCAAGCAGAAAGGATACATCTGCAATCATCATCGTCTTCATCGGCTAATCTGAACTCTACTAACTCAACTGCGATCAATACGTTAGAGACTTCAAAGACCTCTCCAACCAATTCGGAACCACAAGCATCAACAAATACTACGCAAGTAGTGATTACGATCGATAATAATGGCGTTAGTGACACGGAATACATCAAAATCGAGGAAGAAAAATCAAATAGTATGGAATCCGAGAAAAATGCGAAAGACGGTAAGAATAATCAGGGTGACGAAGATGATGACGATGACTATCGCGCGCACGGTGACGATAAACTGACTTGGGACGACGTCGATAAGGATCTAGGCGATATTTTAAGAGAAAGCGAAGCAGGAGCATCGAAATCGAGCGACGACGAGGATTCGCGTTATGATCGTTTTCGCAATTCGGATAAGAAGCAACAGTCTGGAAAAGAGAAAGAAAGCGAAAAGAATGAGGTTGAGGATAAGAACGGTAATAACAAGATTAAAGATTTAAAAGTTAAACCTGAAAAAACAGATATGTAATTGTGAAATCGTTCTTGCGCATCTTTGATTCGACTCATTTTTTATTACTTCCGATTCTTTTTCTCCTAAATTATCTTGGTAGCTTTTTTTTTTTAGGGAATTACACGTATATATATTTACGTATAATTTCTCAAGCCATCTTGTTTAATCAACTATATTCCTTCATCACACACATTTATATTTCTTATTTTATATTTCAATTAAGGATATGTGTCAATTATAATGTATCTAGTATATTATAAGGCTTGCAATTTTAATTTCAATTTATGTAATTTCAATATGTAAGTGCTGCATTATTTGTATGACCAGAGTTTGCGGAGAAACTATCAGTAAGAATGTGAACAAATATAATTATATATACACTCGATAGAGAGTCACATACGACATATTAAATTAAATATAAAATTTTCAATTTTCAGTTATTTGCGTGGAGAAACGTGTGCGCGCCTGATCAATGTGTGCGTCTCATGTGTAGGCATATAATAACACATAGATCATTGACTATATAATAAATTCCTCATTCTCTTTTTCTCTCTCTAGAATTTATCAACATTTCTTTGCCTGTCTCCCTGAAACGAATTATGATTTCGTTATTTCATCGAATAGTTTCATAAGTATCCTGCTGATTAAATAATTTGTCTGGGAAAAGAATTCCCAGAAGAGAGAATAAATACGGTTCCTCTTTGTCGCATGGTATATTAATAACGAAGTACATACATACAAGATTGTAGATGCGCCGTTGAAAATTTTCTCAAACTTTTTAAATTCTCCAATTGTACATTTCTTATAATAGCTTCTTTTGCATTAAAATCTCTGTATCCTTTAAATCTACATTTTAATTATATAACAATATATATTATCTTATATAATAGAGATATGTATCTATCTTATCTGTGCGTCCTCCAAGACTTTCGCGCCTACAATATTATCCGCATCGTACATCCGTTTCACTATCGTCGCGCATGCGCATACCAACATCGAATACAAGCGATCACTCCGGATCGTCTCGATTCTCGATCAGTCGCCGAACTGTCGCGGTCACGCGGTGAGCTTTGACGGACGTGGATGGTCGTTTGTAGCTGATAGTTGAGAGAAAGTGACGTGCTTTCGTAACTCGTCGCGGTTTTTGCGCAAAGTCTACGCCGCGCGTCCGTCGTCGACCTTATTATCAATTCATTATCAAAGCGGACGAGGCTAAAAAAAGATAGCTCGAACGTACCATGCTTCCAGCACGCGAGTGTAACCTCTTAGTTTAGTTGCAACTTTGCTATTGACACGACACTCGGTTGAGTATACTTGTGCTGGTTGAGTATATTATTTTGGCGACCATCGACTCTCTAAAATAATGGCATTGGTGCAGAAGCTACAGATACTATCCAAGTCCTTTTTCGCCCTTACTCCGAATTACGCCAAGTGCACGGCTAATCAACTGTCCTCCGCGAGAATCGCGTCTACCACGCAACCGTTGTGCAAAAAGAAAGAGTGAGTAAAAAAAATCGGTCAAGTGTTTATATCGAGTTTTTAAACTTTAGTCGCTTTTCACTTGTGACAAAGTAATTAGCGTCAAAGTAATTACTGTTAATATAAGATGTTAGTACTGTTAGATTTTAACACCTTTCTCGTTTTAAACAGTGCAATGACTGTGCAAAAAAATTTGATATATATATATATATA